ACCAGTAGCTCTAGTTCCTCCATTTTGTTACCTAGGCTCCTCGCATTGGTGTACAAACATCTTAATTTTTGCTGTTTGGCCTCACTCACATTCTGTACCCGATTAGGCATGGACATTCTACAGCCAGTATGACCTGTTAGACTGGTATCCACACTGCCCTTCCTCCTTATGTCCATTCTCCTACCCATGGCTGTATCCTTTCTTACTTCGTTTTCTTCCCTCTCAATGTTAAAATCCGGTGTGGAGATTACCTGGACATCTCCCAACCATCCCCACAAATTCCTAGTTTAAAGCTCTCTTAATCAGTTGTGCCAGCCTCCATCCTCGAAGTCTATTTCCTTCCCTACTCAGATAAAGTCCATCCTGAGAGAACTGTCCTCTGTCCATGAATGCCTCCCAGTGGCCATACATCCCAAAGCCCTCCTTATAGCACCACTGCCTGAGTCATCTGTTGATAGTCGTAATCTTGTCACACCTTTGTTGCCCTTCTCTAGGAACAGGGAGAATCCCACTGAAGATCAGTCCTAGCCTTCACAACTTCCTCAGGCAAGGAGTTCCACAGGTTGATTGTGTGCTTGCTGCCCATTCATTTCATTTGGTGGCCCCTAGTTCTTATATTATGGGAACAAGTAAATAACTTTTCCTTATTCACTTTCTCCACACCACTCATGATTTTATATACCTCTATCATATGCCCCCTTAGTCTTCTCTTTTCCAAGCTGAAAAGTCTCTTTAGCCTCTTTAATCTCTCCTCATATAGGACCCGTTCCAAACCCCTAATCATTTTAGTTGCCCTTCTCTGAACCTTTTCTAATGCCAGTATATCTGTTCTGAGATGAGACCACATCTGTACGCAGTATTCAAGATGTGGGTGTTAGGATATAGATATTCAGGCCTGTCTGTAAAGGCCTATACTCTAAGAATTTAGGTGTATTCTTATCACTTGGCTAGTGATAGAGGTATAAAAGAAAGAATCAAAACCACTGTCTGCCAGTGTAAGGGCCTTCTCTTACTGTGACAGTTTGTGGCCCTGTGCTTAGGCTCAGGCCTTTGGCTAAGCAGCAGAGGCAGCCATAAGCTGGGAAGCGACCGGTCACATCCTCACATTCCAAACTAGTCACATTGAAATAAGGTGCTATTGGGCTGTTAGGCACTATCAGGACAGGATTGTATTCCTATCACCTCCAGAGAAAGGGAAGTGCCTAGAAAATGTAAAAGGAAACTTAGTTTGATAGCATCCTGTCTGGCAAGAACTCACTTATCAATAGCTGGGATGTGAAATCCTCACTTCTGTATTGTTTTGTCATTATAGTTCCCACTTTGTTGTTGTTTGTCTGTATAATCTCTGTCTGGTTCTGTGATTGTTCCTGTCTGCTGTATAATTAATTTTGCTGGGTGTAAACTAATTGAGGTGATGGGATATAATTGGTTACATAATCATGTTACAATATGTTAGGATTGGTTAGTTAAATTTCAGGAAAATGATTGGTTAAGGTATAGCTAAGCAGAACTCAAGTTTTACTATATAATCTGTAGTCAATGAGGAAGTGACGGGGCGTGGGTGGGTGTGGGTGGGCATGTGGGTGTGTGAGATGGGAACAGGGAATGGGGGTAAGAAAATTGGAATAATGTTTTGCTAAAGGGGGAAATGGGAACAGGGAATGGGAGTAAGGAAGTTGGAATCATGTTTGGCTAAGGGTAGGAATGGGAACAGGGACACACGTGTAAGGCTCTGTGGTGTCAGAGCTGGGAAGGAGGATACTAAGGAAGGAAACTGGAATCATGCTTGCTGGAAGTTCACCCCAATAAACATCGAATTGTTTGCACCTTTGGACTTCGGGTATTGTTGCTCTCTGTTCATGCGAGAAGGACCAGGGAAGTAAGTGGGTGAAGGAATAAGCCCCCTAACAGTGGGCATACCATGGATTTATGTAAGGACAATAAGATACTCTCCGTCTTATTCTCTATCCCTTTTTTTAATGATTCCTGACATCCTGTTTGCTTTTTTGACTGCCGCTGCACACTGTGTGGGCGTCTTCAGAGAACTAGCCACGATGACTCCAAGCTCTTTCCTGATTTTCTGATCCTGGACGGGAAGGTCTGTGTGTTCCCCAAGAGGTCCAACGACGCATGCGCCATCCTGTCGCCAAGGCTGGAGAGGCTGCAGCAGAGCTTCACCGTGTGCCAGAGACCCTTCAGCCACCTAGCCCGGCCCTGTGGCCTCTTCTCCTGTGCCACCAGGGACACAATGACCAGATCCTGCTCTGCCAGGAGAGCCCCACTGAGTATCAGAGGCACGTGGGCGAGAAGCCCCTGACGTTCAGTGTCCCATCGAGCAGCAGCAGTGCCTGGCCTGGGACTCGGCCACGGGGCTGGTGCAGCGGCGGCGAACAGGCAAGCCTTAGGCAGGAAGGGTGCTGCCGAGGGCTGAGCCGGCGATCGTCCTGGGGAAGGACCAGGACTCCTACGGGATTCATTAGATGCCAATCAGGCATTTGTGGGGAGGTGAACATGTGGCGTTATGTGCTGTCGCCTGAACAGATGGGGCAGCTGCACAGGGGAAGCTCCCAGCCCCAGTCCAGACAGGGCAGCCCGGAGTTACCAGCTCCGGCTAGGGGGTGACGGAGCCCATGGTGCACCACGGTGCACTGAGGCCGCGAGCAGTCAGCGCCCAGGAACCTGGAGTGGGGAGGAGTGGGAGGGCCCTGGGAGATGGAGGGATCCACCCGGCTCCTGAGCCCTGGGAGCGGAGGAGACGCTTTTCACAAGCGACTTGGGATTTTGGGTGTCTCAGTTTGTGGGACACCTGGAAGGGCCCAGCTCCAGAGGGGGCTGAGCAATCTGCTGCCAAGACCTGGCCGTTCCAGGGGCCCCAAATCACTCGTCGCTTATGAAAACATTGGCCCTTGTCTGGGCCCATTTGTGCCTGATGGGCTTCTCTGGAGGCCCCCCGTCTCTGTGTCACTATTGAGTCCGATGAAGTGAGGAAACCTGCCGGGGCCTCTGCTGGTAGGGCTCCGAAATCAGCAAGGGGTGGGCAGGAGCCTCCCACGCAGAGGCTGTGAGCTCCCGGGGTGGATGGGGAGATGGCTGGGGATGGGCCCACAGCACAGCTAATGCAACGATCCCTCTGCCGCTACCCCTCCACTGCTGCACTCATCACCACCACAGAGAGCTGGGCCCAACCGGCCACTGGCCATAGTAGCTCACGGTGAAGCCCTACAATCCTGCCCCACCCCGGCCTTTCCTATTCGCCCTCCCAGAGTAGGGCAGCAGCCTGAACCAGGGGCACATTCATCTCTGTGCTGAGAGCTGCCTGGACACTGAGCAGAACCAAAGTCCAGTGCTGGGACCCCTGAGACACTGCTTCCCCCGTGTTCCCACCGGCATAGGCAAAGCCTCTCCCAGGGCCGCTGCCTCCTGCCATGGGGACTAGTGCGCTTTTTGGGCCTCAGCCCTTCAGAATAGCAGGGTTGAGCTGGGTGAGATCTGCTTCCACCCATCTCCTGACAGAGCCAGCCAGGGAGCTCCAGCAAGCCCTCCAGTAACTGGCCTGGCCACCACTTGGTGCTGCTCTGAACACCCTGTCAGCACCAGCATAAACCCTCGTTCCAGCACTGATGTCACCTGCCAGGTGCATGACATCACATGCCATCCCAGGGACCCAGAACTGCTGCTTCCCAGAATGCATCAGCCAGGGAAGCGGCTGATGGGTTAGAAACCACTGCAGTCTCCTGGCACCTGGCAGGCAAGTCTAGGCGGGCTGTGGGGAGAGGGTGTTTCCGACCCTGGATGAGGGCCCTGCTGCGCCTGCACCCAGCACATGGTGTAACAAGGAGCCGTGCTGGGCAGGGCCATGGTGCCCTGGGGGTGATGGACACAGAGAGCGTGTGGGCAGCTCATCGCCCCTTTACCTGGCCTGGCTCTATTATGGCGGCGGGGTGGGGGTGTTCCCTGTGGGCTGAGCCTCCCCTCCATCCCCGTCAAAAGCTGCTGTCCTGGAGACCATTCCATAGCCAAGGTAGGCTGGAGGGTGCTGTGGCTGGAGCCGTTGCCAGCAGCTGTGAGAGCGCTGGCCCCGAGGCCAGCACTGCAGCCACGGCTGTGCCAGATGCCCTGCATGGCTGCATGTGGCTGGCTGAGCCCTTTTCCTTCCCTCCCCCCCCACCTCGGGAACAGCCTGTTCCTTCTTGGGAGAAGCTGTTGAAAGTGTGGCTGGTTTCCCCTGTGCAGCTCTAATGAGTAACTGCCATGATCAGCAGCCCTGCAACCTCCCAGCCCCACCCCCTGCATCTGCAACTCTGACTGCACCCGACCTGCAAATACTGGAATATTGTTTACCCATTGATTCTGCTGCTGTCACCACTGGGGATATAAATCAGGGCTGGTCCCCCTGGTCTCTGCGCTTGGGGACTAGCATTGCCTGGGGCAGGTTTCAGGGCAGAGCAGCCCTGGCCTCCCACCTCCCTTCTCTGTGTTCCTGCCCTGCTAACACTCCCCTCTGGGTCGCTCTGCAGGTGAAGAATATGGAGAAACTGCAGCTTTGGCTCCTCGTCCTTGCTGGCTTCTCAGGAGCGGTCACGCAAACAGGTGGGGTAGAGCCGGCTGTGCCAGGGGGCCGAGCCCTGGCTGAATCTGCAGAAGGATGGGGCTGGCCCCTGGCTTCTGCAAGGTTTAAGATGACCCTTGTAATTGCATTGCTGCTGCTGCTGCTGCAAAAAGCAAATGCAATTTTAGGTTTCATTACCAGAGGCACAGCATGCAAGTCCCGGGTGGAGATAGCACCGCTCTGCTCAGTGCTGGTGAGGCCTCAGCTGCTGTACTGTGTCCAGTTTTGGTCCCCAATGCATAGAAAGGATGTAGAGAAACTGGCAAGGATCCAGAGCCAAGCGACCAAGATGATCAAGGGGAGGGAGTTCAGGCCATCTGAGCACAGGCTGAAGGAACTGGGAAGGTTTAGTTTGGAAAAGAGCAGATTAAGGGGGAATATGATAGCGAGCTTCAAATACTTGAAAGGCTGCCATAAAAACGATGGAGAAAAGTTGCTCTCTCTTGCCACGGAGGGCAGGACAAGAGGCAGCGGGTTCAGACTACAGCAGAGCAGATTTAGATGAAAAACTTCCTAACGGTAAGAACAGAAGGACAATGGAGCAGACACGTAGGGAGGCTGTGGAAGCTCCTTCACTGGAGGTTTTCAAAAGGAGGCTGGAGCCATCTGTCTGCGATGGTTTAGCCCAACAAATCCTGAATCTTGGCAGGGGTTAGACTAGGTGACCCTGGCGGTCCCTTCTAACCCCAAGGGTCCATGATTCCAAACCCTCTTCCTGGCTTGCTTGTCGAGCGCGTGGGGAGAGGAGGGGACGAGCCGGGCTGGGTGCTGGGACCCTCACTCACTCAAGTCCCTTTGCTGCAGCGGGCCTGGGTGCTGGGGGAAGCTGTGAGCTGTCTCTGCAGTGACAGTGTTCCCAGGTTCTTGGCTCAGCAGCTCCTCACACCGAGAGTTGCCCCCCACAGCAGCTGCAGAGAAAGGGAAGAGAGGAAAACGAGGGAGGGAGAAAGGAGGTTGTGGGGGAGGACAGGGCTCCATGAGGCATCGGCCAAAGCACTCACCTCCCAGCGCTAAGTCTCATTGCCAGATATACTGCACAGCCCCAGAGAGAGGTGCCTGGGCAGAGATGTGTGTGTGGGGAGCTTAGGGCTGGGATAACAGGGGGCTGCAGGTCGGGATTGAGGAGCATCGGCAGAGCTGTGTACACAGGCCCCTGCTCTTGCTGTGCAATGGGCCGTGGATTGTGGCCACGGGCAGAGGTGAGCGCATGCGTGGCTGGGAAGGGGTGTGAATGTCCAGGGATAGGAATAGCAGTTTTTTCTGCAGGCCAGGGCTGGAGGCAGCCCAGACTGGAAGGGCAGCAGGTACCGCGATCAGGGTCCCATCTCTGGGCACAGCGTGAGAGGGAAGCTCGCCCTCTGTCAGCCCAGCCTGTCCGTCGCCAGCCAGGACTGAGCCTCCTGTCTGAGAACATGGCCCAGGTTCCATCCAGCCTCAGCAGGCACAGGGCCAGCTCCTCAATGGGTGCAAATCAGCAGAGCTCTGGTGACATGACTTGTGCCTTGTTAACACCAGCTGCAGCTCTGGCCCCACATGTTTCCTCATGGGAGAGATTGGAAACCTAGATTGAGCCATTTTCTGACAGGCTAAAATTTCCTGCATCCGAGCGCCCATGGGGACGAGGAGCAGCTCCCCTACGGGGAGCGAACAGCACCACCCCTCGCAGGGCACATTTCACCAGGGGATCCGCAGGTACCATGCAGATGAGCTGGGATTCACTCACAGATCGCCCCCTCCACCAGCAGGCAGTCACCACGGGGGCGGGACCCAGTGGCTGTCTGTGCCCAGCAGCTGCATGGCAGAGCCCTGGCGCTGGGTGCAAAGAGGGATGGTGTCTGCAGGGGATTGTGGCTGGTGAACGCACTGGGCTGAGCTGGGGTCTGACAAGGCCTTGCTGTGGGGATCAGAGTGCCGGCCTGGTCAGACAACTGGCACCTTCCTACCAGTCAGCTGGTTCCATGTGAATTCTGGGTCACACCAACTGATTTACTGATTCCAGTCCACTGAGCCAGGGGTGAATCCATTAGCTGGGTGCCACAGGGCAGGGTGCCACAGGGCAGAAGGTTGGCAGGGAGGGGCCAGTGCCAGGCGCGTGGGTGGCAGCGACTGGGCAGGCTTGGCCGGAAGCCTTGGGGTAGAGCAGATTCAGCCAGGTGCTGTGGGGGATAGACAGGCTCGGACCCCCACAGCACCTTGGGGTAAACAGGCTCAGACAGGCACTGTGGAGTAGGTAGGAGGGGGGCCAGGCGGGCTTGGCTAGGTGCCCTGAGGCAGGAGGGGAGCCGGGCAGACTCAGCCAGGTGCAGTGAGGAAGGGGGGCTGGCTCCTGCCCCCCTGAAGGCTTGTTACACTCTGTGACGAGTTGCTTGGAGTCTCCTGGGGCTCGGCAGGCTCAGCCCAGCTCAGTCCCCTCTGCACGGGGAGGGCCGTGCCACCGTGCCTTCCATTGACCTTATGCGGGGCTGGGGAGGGCGACACGCTCGCTCCACAAGCAGGAACGGAGCAGGCGGGGGAGCCCCATTGGCCTGTGGCCCAGGAGGCTCTGGAGTCCAGCAGTCTCTGGGCGGGCCCTGGGCTGGCACAAGAGGCACACCCCCTGCTCTGGACAGCGCTGCTGGGCTCTGCCCTGGGCGCCTATCCCAGGTCTGGGCCCAGGGCTCTCATTCACTCTCCTGGTCAGCGGACTCTGCGAACCCCAGCACACACGTGACTGCTGCACTCTCAGGCAGCCAGCGGGGCTCAGACCCAGGTGGGATCTGCAGGAACCCACCATCCTCCCTGGAAATGGCTGAAATCGGGCCCTGAGCTCTGGGAGACAAGCAGCATGACGCTGCCCATGCTCTTCGCACAGGGACCGGGTTAGGGCCCAACTGCCCTCCCCTGAGTGCCAGGTATCAAATGCCGCCTGAACTGCTCTGCAACAACCTGCACCCCCTGCCCAAACTGTCCCCCCAGCACCCTTGATCCCCCTGCCCAAGCCGCCTCCCTAGCACCTTTCATCCCCTGCCCAAACTGCCCCCCAGCAACCTGCACCCCCGTGTAAGAACCGCTCCCCAGCACCCTTCATCCCCCTGCCCGAACCGCCACCCCAGCACCCTTCCTCCTCCTGCCCGAACCGCCCCCCCAGCACCCTTCATCCCCCTGCCCGAACCGCTCCCCTAGCACCCTTCATCCCCCTGCCCGAACCGCCCCCCAGCACCCTTCATCCCCCTGCCCGAACCACTCCCCTAGCACCCTTCATCCCCCTGCCCGAACCGCCCCCCAGCACCCTTCATCCCCCTGCCCGAACCGCTCCCCTAGCACCCTTCATCCCCCTGCCCGAACCGCCCCCCCAGCACCCTTCATCCCCCTGCCCGAACCGCCACCCCAGCACCCTTCCTCCTCCTGCCCGAACCGCCCCCCAGCACCCTTCATCCCCCTGCCCGAACCGCGCCCCTAGCACCCTTCATCCCCCTGCCCGAACCGCCCCCCAGCACTCTTCATCCCTCTGCCTGAACCGCGCCCCCCAGCACCCTTCATCGAACTGCCCCCCCAGCACCCTTCATCCCCCTGCCCGAAGCGCCCCCCCAGCACCCTCATCCGCCTGCCCGAATCGCCCCCCAGCACCCTTCATCCCACTGTCCGAACTGCTCCCCTAGCACCCTTCATTCCCCCTGCCCGAACTGCCCCCCCAGCACCCTTCATCCCCCTGCCCGAACCGCCCCCCCAGCAACCTGCACCCCCCTGTCTGAACCGTCCCCCCCAGCACGCTGCCCCCGCTGCCCGAATCGCCCCCCTAGCACCCTTCATCCCCCTGCCCGAACCGCTCCCCTAGCACCCTTCATCCCCCTGTCCGAACCGCTCCCCTAGCACCCTTCATCCCACTGCCCGAACTTCCCCCCCCCAGCACCCTTCATCCCCCTGCCTGTGCCGCCCCCCCCCCCCAGCCACCTACATGCCCCTGTCCGAACAGCCTCCCTAGCACGCTGCATCCGCTGCCCAAACCGCCTCCCCACCACCCTTCATCACCCTGCTTGAACTGCCCCCCCAGCACCCTTCATCCCTGTTAAGGTTCCCTCCCACTCTGAACTCTGGGGTACAGATGTGGGGACCTGCATGAAAGACCCCCTAAGCTTATTCCCACCAGCTTAGGTTAAAACATTTCTCAAGGTACAATTTTTTTCTTGTCCTTGGATGGGTTCTGCTGCCACCACCAAGTGAGTTAGACAAAGATTCAGGAAAAGGACCACTTGGAGTTCCTGTTTCCCTAAAATATCCCCCAAGCCCCTTCACCCCCTTTCCTGGGGAGGCTTGAAAATAGTTTACCAACCAAATAGGTAAACCAGGTGAGCACAGACCAGAGGCTTGGGTTTCTAGGACACTAAAAACCAATCAGATTTTTAAAAAACAGAACTTTATTATAAAGAAAAAAAAGTAAAAGAAACCCCTCTGTAAAATCAGGATGGAAGGTAATTTTACAGGGTAATAAGATTCAAAACACAGAGGATTTCCCTTTAGGCAAAACTTCAAAGTTACAAAAAACAGGGATAAACCTGTCTTTTAGCACAGGGAAAATATACAAGCTAAAACAAAAGATACTTTAACGCATTTTTTTTTGCTATTACTTACTATTTTTGTAAGTTAGATATATTATTTAGGAGGAGTTAGATTACTTGCTTGGTCTGTTTTTTTGTCTTTGAGAGAACACACAGAAAGAGACAAAGCAAAAACCTTCCCCCCACAGCTTTGAAAGTATTTTTTCCCCTTATTGGTCCTTTTGGTCAGGTGCCAACCAGGTTATCTGAGCTTCTTAATCCTTTACAGGTAAAGGAGGGATTTTATACTACCCTTACATGTATGTTTATGACACTCCCCCTTCTCGAACTGCCCCCCCCCAGCACCCTTCACCCCCTGCCCAAACTGCCCCCCCACAGAACCCAGCCTCACTGGCCGCCCAGTGTCTCCCTGGCAGATCTACATGGCAAAGTGTTCGTGTTCCCTAAGGCATCTGGAACTGCCCACGTCATCCTGAAGCCGAGGCTGGAGCAGCCGCTGCGGAACGTCACTGTGTGTCTGAGATTCGGGTGCGACCTGACTTGGGCCTACAGCCTCTTCTCCTACGCCACCAAGGCCAAGGACAATGACTTCCTCCTCTTCAAACCCAAGCCCGGGGAGCTCAGTCTGTACGTCGGAGGCGAACTGGTCACCTTCAAAGTCCCAGAAAGAACAGGAACAAGCGCTGGGTGGGTGCACATCTGTGCTTGCTGGGAGTCCGCCACCGGCATAGCCGAGCTCTGGGTGAACGGGAGTCCCTTACCCAGGAAGGGGCTAAAGAAAGGCTACTCTGTTGGCGCCCAGGGTGTGCTCGTCCTGGGGCAGGAGCAGGACACCCCTGGGGGTGGGTTTGACGTAAATCAGTCGTTTGTCGGGGAAATCACAGATGTGTACATGTGGGACACTCTGCTTTCCCCGGATGAAGTTAGCCTTGTCATGAACAATGGGGTCCTGCCTCACCTCATCCTTGACTGGACAACCCTGAGCTACGAGACCAAAGATTATGTTGTCATTAAACCCAGCCTGCTCCCAGTGTACTGAGGGCCCAGCACTGGTTGGCTAGTGGGGCTGGAAAATGGGTGGGGGCGCAAAGCAGGGAATTGTCTGTATCATTGTGGTAATGTAATGGACCTGCTCGGCAGGGGGCTGGCCAGAGCCCTGCGATGGGAAAGAGGCAGGTGTGCTCCGGAGATCTGCACATGGACCTGGGACCAGGGAGCTCCTCACGTCTATCTCCAGCTCTGATCCCAACTCCTACTGGGACCTTGGGAAATCACATGGGCCAGATTTTCGCGGGTGCTCACCTTGTAACAGGGCCAGCCACCCCTGAGCACCTCCTGCTGGCCAGGGGTGGCTCTGCGGTTCCCTGCCTCAGTTTCCCCTCTTGGACTCTCAATCATTCCCCCAAAGCCTTTCATGAGTCCAATTACAACAGCCCTTCTTGGGGTCTGGTTTAAGGCCATAAAATGCCAAAGGATTCAAAGAGCCCCACCCGGCTTAGCCTATGAGCAGACCTCTGTGCCTGCCCATGGCTCCAAGGAGTCTGCAGGCAAAGCCCTTTGCTGGTCCCTCAGCCTTCTCAGGGTCCCTGCAGCACACCCTCTGCAGCATCTTTGCACTATTTCTGACTGGGCTCAGCCCTCCTTCCCAAGGGGGCTGTTCTCTGCTGCAGCTCTGCCAGGCTCCCAGCCACTGCCCATGGCCCCCCCCATCTCTAACCCCCTCTAACTCATCTCCCCTGGAAATGGCCATGTCACAGGCCGTGGCCATCCCCCTCAAGGGGCAACCACCCTGAGGCACACACCCGTGCTGAGCTTTTGAGCATTCACCCTTCCCTCCTGGGAGGTGCTGATGGCAACATGTGCCTCCCGGGGAATTGGGAGGTAGAACCAGACCAAGGCTGCCTTGTGAACAGTGCAAAAGGGGTTCAGGCACCCGAGCCCCACTCAGTTCAATGGGAGTTTGAGCCCAGCCAGAGTCTGTGATGTGCTTGGAGCACAGCAGTGCTGGAAGTGTCAGGGGCCTTCATGGTCACCATAAGCAGAGCCTGCCAGAGCAGACCAGCTCCATGTGTCCAGCCTGATACATTCCTGGGTTGGCTCAGTGTTGGAGACATTTCCCAGCCTTGTATGTCACTGTCTCCATTGCTTCTGGGAGGCATCCCAAGTACTAGGTCCAAGGAGCCCCACGGTTACCCTGCTGCCTCTTCACTGGGTGCCTAGGGCCGAGTTTGGAATGACTGTGATCATCTGTGTTGTAAGTTACTGTGCCATTGTCCCAGGGGCTTGGCGCCCTGCCAGCCCCAGTAAATGACCCTTTCAGCTGAACTGTGTGCATGGTTATTGGGAACCCACATGGTGACCTGCAGGGCCCAGCAAGGTGGGTGCTGTGGTCAGACCTCTTCTAACACCCCTAAGTGACCAAACAGGGAGAGAACAGGTGGGTGGGGGCTTGTGGCGCCAGGCCTTGTGCAGGTAGCTAAAGGGGGGTCTGAACAGTTATCCACCCTATTTCTTTGGTTGCCAGGTGCCTGCTTTTCAACCAGAAAGTCTGGTCGAAAGGGGACCTGACAATGTCTGGTCAGATGTACTGAGTGGACATCAAAAGGGCAGTTACCACGGGGCCGGGGGAGACACCGGGTCATTAAACCATGCCAGCCCCATCTCAACCGGAACCGCCTCCTACCTGCAAGTAGGCTCCTTGTCAGACTGCAGCAGCTCCTGTAGCCCCAGAGCAGAGGGGGGAGCCCAGCTGGTGGGGGGAGGGAGATGGAGACGATCCAATGAGGGGGAGAGGGGGAGAGAGGAGCGACTGACTGAGGCAGGGCCATGGGGAGAAGAGGTGGAGAAGGAGACAGGGCCTCATGATAAGAGGTGGAGCCGGGGTGGAGCCTTGGGGGAAGGGGTGAGGTGGGAGTCAGGGACTTGGGGGAAGGAGTGGGGAAGAGGGCGGGGCCTTGGGGGTGTGGTTACCAGCAATCCAAAAGGTGGCAATCTTCACTGTTTCTGAGAGCTACACTGCATCGGTGTACAGGAGAGACTGATTCCACAAAACACCCTGTCAGTGTGTACTGCTCTTCACACAACACAAAGAAAATGGAGAAACCACACAGGTACTGTTGGGTCAGCCTCACGTTGCGCGCACGCACACCCATACACACACACTCACTCTAAGCTCAAGGCCTCCTATCCCCTTCAGGGGCAGGCAGCTGTGAGCAGCTCCCCTTTCTCAGAGATGCTAGCTGAGTGACTGCACAGAACACATTAGGACAAGACCCTGGTTCTAACCCCAAAGACTTCCGTTTCATTCCTGTGGTCACACTGCCTTAGGCCAGAGCTCGCTTAAAAATGGAATTCCTGTCCTGATAGGAATGGTGACATTTTGAAAGGTGGTTTTGTCCCAAATCAGGAGGAAAATTCAAAATTGCAGAATATTTTGCAGAACAAAATTTTTTGATTTGGACCCATCAGAATGACTTTATCACAATGTTTCATTGTAATATTGTCAAACCCCTGTAATGTAAGCAGAATCTGAATGAGTTTTCCCCTGACATCTGATGATGAGCTATGGAATAGGACTTCAGGAACTGATCTCATTTGCATGGGCACACCCACCCTGCCTAGGTGCTCAGCACGATGGGATTGCTTGCCCAAATGATCACTTTTGGCTGGTGTTGCATCCCCAGTCTCCTTGTTATTGGGACAGGAGTAAGAAAGTGTTGTTATCCTTGTTGTGTGCACCAAGGGCAGCAGAACTGTGCTTGGAAAGCCATGACTGATCAACTAAATGGCACTCGCTAGGCAGGGGACATAGGTTCCACAGACCAGCAGTGGTGGTGGGATTATGAGTAAGTGTATTTGGCGGGGTGGATGTGATTGCAGGGTGCTAGAGACCATCTGATCCATCCTTTCACCACTCTGTAATAAAAGACCTAATTTAGACTCAACTGAAAGTTTTGTTACATGCTGTAGGGTTGAAATAATTGATACCTAGATTTGAGTGTTAGACCTGCTTTAGGACAGCATTTCTGGTGTAAGAGACTGCCCAGTATGTACCAGCAGTGAGGATCCCATACTAACAATTGGAATCACTGAGAGCTGTGTTAAGTTGTGAGACTTGAAGGCATCCTGGGGGGTTGGCAATCATCTGGCACAATGGTCAGTGGAGAGGTGCGGCAATCAGCCAGCAAGGCAGCTGTTGGAGAGGACTGGAGTGGAGCACCGCCGAGCAGCGTGGCAATTGGCTAGCAGGGTGGCTGGCAGAGAGATGCGGAGCACCAGCTGGCTGGCAGGGCGGCTGCCGAAGAGGAACGGAGTGCTGATCGGCCAGCAGGGCAGCCGGCAAAGAGGAGTGGCAAGCAAGTGCCTGGGCAGTGGAGTGAGTAAGGTGCCAGGGTGGGAGGTGAACTCTGCAGATCCATCTCTGAACTCTGGGTCTGCACTGACCAAGGGCAGCAACTGTGAGTGGGGTGCAGAGGAGGGTTTGGCATGTTAAAGGGACTTTTGGTTGCTGGACTTAAGAACCTGAGGGGGAAAGGACATTGCCAAACTTACTTGGGGGGTGGGTGTTTTGTTCATGGTTTATGTTTTGAACCCTGTTTGCGGTGTTTTCCCAAATTAACGCTGAGTTACTTCCCTCCTTTTATTAAAAGTTTCTTTGCTACACTAAGACTCTGTGCTTGCGAGAGGGGAAGTATTGCCTCTTAGAGGTGCCCAGGGGGTGGTGTGTAATAGTCCCAGATCACTGCGTGCGGGCTCGAGCTGGTTTTGTGTTGAATTGTTGAAAAGGAACTCCTAGATACTGAACCCGGCCAATGCTGACTGGCAGAAGGGTTACAGAAATATAATATCAAAATAATGAATAATCTATTAAGAATACAATACAATATAAAAGTAAATTGAAATGAAAAAGTCAAACTGAGCTAAACTATTTCATGTTGATTTTTAATCTTTTTAGAAATGTTTCCTTCAGATGTTTTGTTGAAATTGACACGTTCCCACCAAACTTGATAATTTTGACCAAGCAGCCCTTTCTGATGGAAAACTGATCAACGAGCTCTCCTTTTGGCATGAATATGCCAGATCTCTGTTTGGCTGTCCTGTCTGTAGCACCTGCTTTACCCACTTCCAGAGCTGGGAAGTGAACCCAGGGGTTACCATGTGCTTCTGCTGTCTAGCCAGAGGTGAAAGTAGGCCGGTACTGGTCGGTATGGCATACTGGTAAGAAGCGGCTACCTGTACCGGCCCGTACACAGCCCACATGAAAGTGCTGCTGCTTTAACATTGCTGACCCTTTTGCCCCCCTCTCCATGCCACTGATGGGGTGGGGTGGGGGGCGCAAAAGGGGCATCTGCCCCGGGGCCTGACGATTTAAAAGGGCCTGGGGCTCCTGGCTGCTGCCACCACTACCCAAGCAGTGGCCGGAGCCCCAGGCCATTTAAATGGCTGCCAGAGCCCTAGGCGGCATGGGCCGGGCAGCGTGGAAGGGCTGGCTGGGGGGGGCTGACCCCACCCGTTCTGGGGCCCCGGAGCCGGGCCCCCTTACCGGTAAGTATTTTATCTTATTTTCACCCCTGTGTTTAGCCAAGAATGTGTCACCCACTGCCAAAGCTCATGGTGTGTGGATCAGAAAGTTCCATGTTCAAACCTTGCTACCGACCCACCGGCTTGTCGTTACAGGTGCACCTAACTCCTGTGGAGGAGTGGGAATGGGAAACCCTGGAATGGGGGAAGGGGAGGATAGAGGGGTCCACACAGATCCTAGTGTGGGGAACCCTGGTAAGGAGGAAGGGGGGAAAGAGGGGCACACAGAGTCCCTGGCATGGGGAGAAGGTGAGAATGGGGGCCACACAGAGCCCCTGGCATGGGGAGAAGGTGAGAATGGGGGCCACACAGAGTCCCTGGCATGGGGGGAAGGTGAGAATGGGTGGGCACACAGAGCCCCTGGCATGGGGGGAAGTGGGAGGTGGGATGCAGTTAATGCTGGTGGAAGGAGGAGCATGCTGGGAGGAAAGAGAGGTGACACAGCTTCTGGAAGGAGAAGGAGATT